AAGCACAGATAGCCCATTGTGTAGTTTGGAGCATAACTACAAACAAACAAACTTAAATGCAGTATAAATTTACAATTTTTTACATTGTGTTATGTTTCTAATTTATATTTTTATTATTTTATGTAACCCCATTCTTTAAAGTTGTATAAGCAGGTACAGATATGAGGAAGGAGTCCAGTGGGGCCAAACTCCTCTCCACCTATTTTTTCAGAACTTAATAACAGTATTTTTACTATTGTATAGGCAGGCACAGATCTAGGAGATTTGGACCTCTCCATTCTTTCAGGAATATTCTTTAAGTGTTGTACAAGTAGGAGTGGATCTAGGGAAAGAATACTTAACCCCCTCACCAATCTTTTTCAGAAATGAGAAACTATCATTTAATGTTGTATAAGAAGGCACAGATCTAGGGGTTCAAACTCTTCCATTTTTTTCAGAAATTAAAATAATAAACCAGGCATTCTTACACTACCACACAAAAAGAAATATTAGATATCAGTATTTTTATTTAATTGGGCCATTAATTATCATAACATCTTTCTGAGGTTTTCTGAAAGTAACACAGCTGAAGTCTAAAGTAATTCAGTTAAGTCTTCAGCTAGTAACTGATTATTTTCAAGCTAACACAACAATATGAACTTCAATTAGACGTTGCCATGATCAATTTTCATGCCTTGCCTTTTTTCATACACACTAACAATGTCAGCTAGTTTTTAAGAATTGATTTTTACCTGCAGCTCTTATAAAACAGACTTGTTACAGAATCAATTTTTCATCATTTAGTAGTTACAACTCTCATAAGAAAGATGTTTTTCATATTGTTGATGTCTAAAATAAGAGAAAATTCAGGTGATGTGATTGTATAACAAGTTAAATTTTTTTTAAAACAGACATCTTGCCCACCAATGCTATCATTTGCTTTCTAAATATCATTATAAATAATTAAAACTATTTAATTTTAATCAAAAAAATTGAAATGTTTAACTGTTTTTATTTTCATATAACATTGCTAGTATAAGAAATATAAACTTTGGAATCATTGGATTATAACTCAACTGAGCTAATAAATAACAGAATATATTAACATTATTGTAACTTTGTTTGATTTCTTTAGGTTACACTTTAGGACTATATTGTCAATACTGATTAATCCAAAATACTATATTATTATAGTGGAAGCCTCTTTTTTCATGTAAAAGTACTGAAGATTTGGTTACAGTGTCACACAACTAACTTTTACAAACTTACCTGGGATCCTATCATTATTGCAAAAACAAAACATTACTGAGGCTAGTGTGAAGTTAAATACTGTTGTTACCTATCAATACAATTTTATATTATCTGAACAGATTTTCTAGTTTTAAGTTCTGCAGAGCACAGCCCACATTTTGCTTTTTGATCTCCCCTTGTACCAAAATATACCTAAACAGGGCTTCACTTATTTGAACTTCCTAAGACCACATTGCTACAGCCTGACCATTTCACATCAGTTTGTTGTATCTCTACACAGCAAAGTTTCAAAAAATTAGTTCCAACTAAAAGCAAATAAACTATCATTTATGACATTATTTGCTGTATTTGGAAAACTCAAAAGTTGTTTCTTTGCATTTTGTTTATATAAGTAAATAAATACACACTTTCTGGCCTTATATAATTTTGTAGTAATACCTATTTGTTAAATGTATAATATAAAAGTAATATCCACAATAATAGCAATATAGGGAATTTGTTTAAAAATGAGTGGCAGCATGACACATTTTTACAAATGTAAGGTTAAAATGAAATGTGGATCTCACTATCTCCCTGTAATGCCATGTGACAAAAGTAAGAAGTAAACAATGAAAGAACCTCTGAGTAGCCCTTAGTTTCTTAATATCTGACTTCCACATTTTTAACATCCAATAGCTCATGGAAAACTCATGACATTTGACTAATGTTTAAACATTCTAATACCCATACTGTAAACACTTAAAAACATGTGAAACAATACTAAATTATCTGGAATAACAAGTCTGGAAAATAATATTACAGATTTCTTTTCATCAAAGAAAAATTGGAAATATAATATATGATGTAGATGCTTGTTATAGTCTTTGATTTACCATATTTGATTTACCATTTATGCTGTGAACTGCAGTTTTGCATGTTCAAGACTCATTAACAAAGCTTGGGTGAGTACACCAATGAAATAATGAAGGACTTCTTATAACAGTGGTGTGTTTGTAATATTTACAGAGTTTTTAAAGATCTTTTCAACCCACCATTTAATAACCCAAGTTAACAAATATAAATATGTAATATCATCATCAAACAGTTGGTCCATTGTACTTATAATAATAAATTTGGTGCAATGCTACAATATTATTCACATACCTAATTTACCTTATGTTACTAAGTGGCAAGTTAAAACGAGTTAAACATTTCATAAAGTTTTATAAGTCTGAAAAGTGTACGCAGTATTGTTGCAACAGGTGACTGATAAGAGAATCTTGTATTGTTTCTAAATGTTAAACAATGCAGTTGCTTTGCATGTATGGTATATTTTCATGTTCAAAGTTTAGGATAAAAAAAATGGAACTTACTGTTATAATTTTCTTATACTCAAAATTGTAATTCCAATAGCTACTTACCTCTTGTCACATAAATAGTTATTCTCGTTCAGTGCTGCCCTCTATATGCAAAACTTTTTTGTGCACACCACAAGCCTCGAAACTCCCACTTATCTGGAATGACTAATTTCAATGCGTCTCACATGCAAATTATCATGCGACAAACCTCCACTAATAAGAGCAGGACACACTCTCTTGATGCACGTGAATCATTTTATTCAATCCTACTGAACTATCATATCACTTCGAGTGTTGGCAGAAAATGGAAGCACCAGTTTTCAGCGGGGAGGAAGGGTGAGAAAAGGTAAGGACCTATCAAAAATAAATTTTCAGTATAGGAAAATTATAACTTCCAATACGGTACATTACCTCAGCTTACATAAATAGCTAGGATCCCACATTGAATGGATGGAGAGACTGGTGCAAGGGAATAAGAAGCAACCGAGGGACACTCCCCAAGAGGAAATCTTTGGAGTCAAAGATCGTAGATGGAAGACTGTAACACTTCTGAACCAGGTGTACTCTTTGCCCATTGTGGAAAGACGTCACACATATGGGCAGAAAGATGGAGGAGCATGTACAAATGAGAAAGAACTATGGCAAGATAGTGATCTAAACCATACTTTATTTAATAAACTCAATCCCAGAAAACCGAAATTGTGGGTAAGATTAAAAGATGTACCCATAGGTATAGAGTGGCTCTGGCACGGCGAACCATACATGGCAAATCAACTACATCCAAAACCCATGTTGCCGGGAACTGACATCCACATGGGGTAGGATGAGGATGATACCATTGGTAAGTCAACTACAATACAAAACCCAGCCACCAGGTACCGACATCCATGTGAGGTTAGGAAAGAGGTTTATACAGTCTTCACCTTAAGTTCATGAGACAGGAGGGAGTTTTGTACCCCCCCGACCCATGAAAGGGCGCACAATAACAATGTGAGAAATGCAATAATCGATCCAGGATAATCGATGTCCGTGTAATGTAA